GGGGGCATGATGTTGATTTCTGGCAGTACTTAAATGCAGTCGTGAAATGTGATGAGATGGGATAACATGAGATGAAGTGAGGTGAAATAATATAAACTGAGATGAGGTGAATGCGACTGATGGGGTGAGATGAGGTGAGATGAGACTGATGGGGTGAGAGTGAGGAGAGATGACAACAACAACAAAAACAACAACAACAACAACAACAACAACACAACAACAACAACACCGCTATCACCACCAACACCAACTAATGAGCCCCCCCCCCAGGAGCCTGACTACATGCCCACAGACGGATTGGCTGACGTGGATCAAGACATGGCCCTGAGAAAGTACGTTGTTCTCTCTTTCCTTCATTCTTTCATTCATTCATTCATTTATTCCTTCATTCCTTCATTCATGCCGACAGACGGGCGGGCTGACGTGGATCAAGACATGGCCTTTGGGAAGTACGTTCCTCCTTCTTCTTTGTGTCTTTCTCTTCTTTCTGTCACTCACTCTTGCTTTTAGTCTGTGCTATACATTCATTCATTCATTCATTCATTTATTTATGCATTCATTCATTTGTTTAATCATTTATTCATTTATCTGTTGATTGGTTGATTGGTTGGTTGATTGGTTGGTTGAGGGTCACTCATATGCATACTGCTGGTTAGATATATATATATATATATATATATATGCGCGTGCGAGCACTCAATGTGGTTGAATGATGCATCTGATGTGATATATGTTCATTTTGTCAGCTTTACTTCTCTTTTCATATATTGAATTTTAATGAGAGTGATATATATCATTTAAATTTGTTTTATGTATACCTGCATGTGTTTTTACGGTCCTGTACAGTCAAGAAAAATTTCCCACTGGGATAATAAAGGTAGTATCTTATTTGATCTTATCTTACCTTATCTTATCTTATAGCTACTCACCCCCTGTTCCCTGTTGCTCCCAACAGAGCGCGCGTGGCCTCCGTGTGCGAAGCGAACCCCCACCTTGTGGGGATGTACACCAACAACTCCATCGTGTCTGCCCGACACAGGTTCCTCTACTGCCCCGTGCCCAAGGTCGCCTCCACCTTCTGGACCAGGTTCTTCTACCAGCTCATGTACACGGACCCCGTGGGGTTAGTATCTGTCTGTCTGTCTATCTATCTGTCTATCTATCTATCTATCTATCTATCTATCTATCTATCTATCTATCTATCTATCTATCTATCTATCTATAGGTTCTTCTACCAGCTCATGTATACGGACCCCGTGGGGTTAGTATCTATCTATCTATCTATCTATCTATCTATCTATCTATCTATCTATCTATCTAT